TATATTCACTGAAACCCTTGGACAGATTACAGAAGTTCGCTTAGGAGGTTGGTAATTTGTCTGAAGCTGCGAACAAAATATCTAGTTTCTAAATCCCAAGTAGGAAGGGGTACAACCTATAATTCTACACAACTTCTCATGTCTCTCGCCCATACCTGATGACCTGGTGACCAATAGGCCAAGAAGATTTTGACATTGCGAGACATGGCAAAAAATAGCTGATTAAAACACTAGGCGTGCACTAGAATTCTACACTTGATGTGTATAGACTCCTGACTGAAAGGCGAATCAGACATGGCTGTCTTCATGTGTAAACTGTACAGAAGTGTATCACATCAGCTAATGGTCATAGGGAATGCAGCTTTTCCCCCGTTGCGTAACATACATACATATGTTTGTTATCTCTTGTGAATCAGCCTCAGCCTGTCTCTGACTACCTCAATTACGCAATCGTTCCATGCATATTTGTAGAAGAGAAAGATGAATCTTGTTGGTCTCTGGCAAAGTTGTTGGTCTCTGGTTTAAAGCGCCGCCTCTCAGTTGTCTCATTGCTGGCAAACCTCCAAGCGATGAATTGAAACAGTTGCAGACTCTTTGTGGTTTTGTGTCAGTATTGCATGTTACGTTGTCATCTAAGCGTTAGGCCGTCGCTGATTGGCTGCTGTGCTGGAATGTCAATTTTTAGTTTCAAATACCCCGGCTTAGTGTTCTATGTTCTTCGCGTAATTAGGTGTTCGTATGCAAGGGATTTTTCCACACAAAAAAAGACGAATTCGGCCGAATTTTGTTATCGGTTGGCTTAATATAACCCCAACGGACCGTATTTTTGTGAAAGATTGGTATTTTTATCCTGATTTGTAGGAATCTGAAAAACGCGTTTCACAACTTGTCTCTTATTTAGTTTTATGCGTCATTCAAGATGGCGGCCCCCCATATAGTAAATATCGTATTTATTTTATTATCACGTTTGCGCAAGCTGACTGTGTTAACCAGCCACACCAACCCATCGACTGCTGAGAATTTGTACACACTCTCACCGTGTCATACGCTGTAATATGCAATGACAATCCTGGTTCCCTCATAACTCTGGATATTCAAATTGCGAGACGTACATGTACTAGCGACTACGAATCAGACCCTACTTTAGATACTTTTTATTTTTTTCTCGGAATTTAATTTCAATATTTTCGCCGAAAGGGTTGATTAAGTGGAAATAAAATCCATACAAAACACCAAATAAGCTCTTCAGCGAAAATTAATTCCAGCTGAAATAAAGTATTTTACAGTATACAAGAAACGTGCCGAGCGCCTGTGACTTACGCCAGCATTCACTGCCCCCCCCAAAGGACAGCTATAAAATAGCGTGTAGTGAACGTGCACTTACAATGACTAAATGGACATGCGCGATTCAAATCTCTGAAGTCACAAATAACATGCAGAATAAATTTGATTTGAATAAATTGATTTGATTAGAACCAGTACATTCTAGACATTCTATTAGTGATGTCGAGATAATCATTGGTCGTTCGAGATTACATGAGTGGGTCCGCTGGATGTACAGCCGCCAATGCAACATTCTGCGCAATAAAAATTGGAAAAGATTGCAGTCACTGTCATCGCTTACTGTCAGTTACTGCCATATTGCTACGAACACCAAAACAACAATAGTGCTCCCCAAGTTGCTGACTGGTTTGTTCGCGATTTAGAACAAGTTGTTTGATTGGTTGGTTTAGTGGTTTTATAACTCGATTTTCGTAATTCGTACAATTCAGTATCTTATCTGTAAGCTTAGTGAGTTACGAGAGGTGATCAATAAGTTCTCGGCCTCACCATAAAACAAGGGGCGGAACTCCTATTCTGGGGTATAACTTTATACGTACTTTATACTATAATGTCACTACCTATAGAAATGCAAATGTAGGTACTCATTAATTAGCACGTACCGCGTGGTGCCCATTTAAAATCAGCAGGTGAGGCGAAAATCACAAAATGGACCAGACAGAAGCTCGTGCTGTGATCAAGTATCTCTATAAAAGGGGGTGACTCCCAAAGAAATCGACGAAGACATGATCACGACTCTTGGTGAGGACTCCCCTTCTTATTCCACTGTAAAGAAGTGTGTTGTTAACTTTAAGCGAGGCAACTTGAAGGAGAGTACAACAGATGACCCAAGGTCTGGAAAGCCAAAATCTGCCACCACGAACCCATCCGTCGCATTAATGTTATTGGGCTCTTGAAATAAATAAATACATGAAAAATTAATTATTAATACAATATTTTACGTACATGGATTCACGTACATTCCGGTTGACCGCCGACATAATTTAATATTTAAATACGTATTTAAAAAAAAACATGGAAGAACTAATAAAGAATCGCATCTTCACCACTCGCTTCACCAGCCAATTGATTTTTTTTCTATTACTAGTATATAAATTACTGAAAATAAGAAATCGATGATGTGATCATGAAATTGTGGAAGTAGATAACAACAATTACACCGTCTGGAGTAATACTAGTATAATTCGTCACAAAATTAAGGTAAAAAATAGCCACAGTGGTCACACGAAATCGCTGTTCCTCTGATCACTGGTTCACATGGAAGTACAATTATAATCTATGGACAACATGACGTCATTTCCTATACCAGTGTGTACTGGCGAGGAGTCACCAGTTTACTCAAGTTAGTTTTACCTTCAGGGATTTCTAAAGAAAAGGGAAATTCACACCTTTTGTACCACCTTCTTCATTGTTGCTGACTGACGTCACAGTTCCACTTGGAGCTATCGCGGCTGTATTTATCACTTCAAAACTGAAAGACTAAATTCCTGATTAGTTTCTATCTTTTTGGAGTATTGTTACACACCTGGACAGAGATAGTAGTGTACGCGGCCGGTAGAGATAACTTGAAGTGTACGCATGTCTACTGAAAGCATAGCTGACCCAATTACTCGTCCTACGCAATGGGCAAGGGAAACACCTCCCGCAGGGGGTTAAACATGTTGGTAAACAGCTGTGGCGCGATAATCAATTAACATCGGTTATCAACAACAACATAATGAGCGGGAAGTTCATTAAACGTGCCCGCAGAGGCGTCACATTCCATTTTCCTTGCGTAATATTTGAACGCGGCATATATGCAATCCAGTTCTATCTGGTTCGATCAATGAACTATCGACTGAATCAAGCAAGGTAACAAGAGAACACGAGTGACAGTAAGGCGATTTCTACTTCACGGCTAGGACGTAACCAAGGTGGAAGTTATATTTCGTGAATACGTACGAAGAAAATTTGAAAATTGTTGCTCCGCACATGACGATGTGCATTAATTTGAGATACGTATGGTGGTGGCAGTTCATGGCGACGGCTTTGTTTACAAATATCACGCTATGCCTGGGGCAGCGAATATCCGGTAAGGCTCTTAATGTTTAACCATGGAGCTCCATGCTTTAACGTATTTTTTTTATAACAGATGTACGAGTTCAGCCTGGAAAAAATACTATATTAATTCATTGTCATTTATTATGTAAATCCATACTCGGTCGGTTATTATCAGCTGTTTATATGTATCCTCGGCGAATAAGCCCCATGAATTGTAACGCAGCCTTTAAAGGCCTCAGTTTCATTCGCCGATAAATTCAAGATATTCGTGTTAGGTCAAAGTCAATATAAATGCAAATGCATCGATGGTATATTGATGGTTTCCAACGTTTCCCAAACAAACGGTAACATATTTCACAGAGGCACTGTGGTAATATCAACCCGGATATCAACCGGTCTGAACTACGTCTCCGCCTCCTTCGAATACATTATAATAATACCGCCACTATTGTAACTGGTTTCCACTGGATGAACCCGCCATTAATTCTCGGCGAGGTTTCGAGAATGTAAGACTGAAATGAAAATAATAAAAAAAATGCGAAGTGGCGAAATATTTGTCTTACACACCCTAGTTTTATTATGATGTTAATATTTGAGCAGACTGGAAGCTCGATAAACACGACCTTTCAATGACTCCTGTATATATCCAGTAGTGCTGCAGTCGACCTAGTTACATGATAGATGACCTGCATTGTTTATTGCAAGGTTAAAACGGTCACTTATAAAATTAAGTAAATATTCATAAAACAAACACTTTGATTGAGCTCAAAGAATAATTTACATATTTAATTTAATCAATCCTTAATTAGCCGCAGTTATTTCGATATTGTGATTAAAAACAACGATTGTAAGTATTATTTTAAAATAGTTGAGTCTATCTCAATTTAATTATTAAATTTAGAAATTTTGATTTCGCGAGGAAAAAAATGACATTTTTCTTACGTGGTTAGCCGAAAGATTGACTTACGTCAGTGTTGATTAGTTTCCAGTCGACGGGGCTTTGTCGCTGATAATTAGTGAGCGATAATTGGATCTAATTGTATACCAACTAATTAATTTTAATTTGTCTCCAGGCATATATTTGAAATCTTCTAATTAATTAACACTAGTATAATCATTTGCGACACCACTTTCGTACTCGATGATGGCGTGCCCTTAAATGATGGAATAATTTGTTAATATACATTTACAATGTAGACCTCTCCGAATCCATCTGTAGAATCTTGCTCAAATATTAGTCTACTAGTCTAATAACATTTTAAAGCAGAAATTAACTCGGAACGTATTTTCTTGTTCGCCGCATGTTTCAATTTGGCGTCACAGAATCACATAACGTGAGCGTGTAAGGCACTACTGATAGCATCACGCATATATTTATTTATTTTATAACATAGAAATACTCATTTATCTGACAAAAACTCCCTTTAAGTTGGACAACAATTTTATTAACATTTAGTCATGTTAATGTTTGGACAGAATATAATATTGTGCGGTACAGGGACATGGGGTTTCCATGAGAATGACGATTTTGAAAAGGTACGATTCGTTTTGTAAATATGCACTGCGTATTTATAGCGAGTTGGACCTTATTAACCGGCGGATATCATTCTAGAATAGTGCAATTATTTTTGCAAATTATTAAAGCGGGGGAGTCATCACCTGCGCATGCGTCAGATGGCCATGATAGCGTTTCATTGTTCACAAACAAACGTCTATCCATGAGCCTTTGCGTTTTTTGCGTGGTTGTTATCGTCGGTTGGGACTCAATTCCCCGCGTGCGCAAGTGACGACCCTCTCGCTTTAGCATGAGTTCTCATCTGTGTTGTTGCTTCCAGTTTCGCCAAACAGTACGATTTGTTGAATGATATGATTTTCTTATGGACTTTGCAAATTTTGGGTAAATGACGAGGGTTTATAAGTTATTATTATAATACAAAGTTTTAGTGAGGTAGCAATAACATTATGATTACGACGTGATTCGGACTTGTGACACTGGGTAGACAGCGAACAGAACAAAGAAAATGTCGATTGTTGCGAATATTTCAGTTTTCTATAACTAGTATTTCCAATCAATTGCAGATACGAAAGGAAGGAACACCGAGTCTCCGGAAGAAAATATTGGCAATTACCTTGGAATAGATTTGGAAAAGAATAACAACCTATTGATTCTTATTTTATCTGTCGCAATACTTCTTATTTTTATCATAACTGTATTGAGTGTTAGCATCTGTAAAAGAAAAGGATGTTTTTGTCATTCGATGATGCAACGGACAAATGTAGCTGTCATACAAGGTGGGGGACAAATAGAAATATGTTACTTCCTTGCTCTCTTCTATACATATGCGCTATTTTTAAAAAAAATGCAATATGGATAAAAACGTGTATTTTTTAATATTGTTGGTCGAATCAGTCTATAATTTATCATAATATAGTACATGTACTCATATTACGTGTCACGCACATATTCATTAGGTGACAATATCAAAAAACAATACTAAAAATTACATGTAGTGCATCATTCAAATTGTACTGCAAATTATGCATTTCATTTTGTTCTTATGCGCTGTGCTAATTATTTTAGTATGGTTTCTTATCCCAATTTCAAAGGGGGTGGTTAAAAAGGGTAGCCATATTTTTACCCGCCCCCAGCGTTAGAATTGGGACAGAGAATCAGACTATTGTAAAACCATTATTTTCACTGGCATTCAATTTCGCTATTTCAATGTTTTGAGAAACTTTACTAGGTTTTAAATTTCATGAATTCGGCAGCTAAACAATGAGTTCTAATGTTCTTTTACATGTTTATGTGTATTTGATTTAGCGATTTTACTTATCAGCCAAAATAGCGAAATAAAGAATAATGTGCCTTACTTTGTGGCCTCGTATTCACGAATCATCTCTTAATGCCTGTGATACAAGGTGACAATCTGCTGTAAGATAACCTGGTTATTTTTCATTTTTTTATTCAGCGTCCGGAACGAGGCAGGGTGACAGTGATTTGCCGCCTTCTTACTGCCACTGTGTTCGAGAAGGTATCATTGCGTCATCAGACAGTTTTATTGAAGGATTATGGGGCACTGATTGTGCAAACTACCTACCAGACTACGAGACTGTCGTCGCTGATAGGTCAGGGGCGACTTTACAACGCAATAACAGTGTTTCTGATGTAAGAAGTGAGATCTCGTCGTCGAGTGTGTCCCTTTTGATTCGCGAAACCAGTGGCGAAAACGAGAAATCGGAGCAACCTTGCAATTTAGAAATACATGTTGAAGGCGTTGACAATGTACACGGGCATGTAACTATTGCAGTAACAGACATTGACCCTTACCAGCACTGCGCGTGTGACGCAACTGCAGAAAACGTCACATCCCATAATAGTGAGGAACTGAAATACGACGTTACCAATGAATAAATTTTAACACCAAAACTAGAAGGACATTGTTGAACTATTTATTGGAAAAACTTATATTCTCCGAGGACCGAGTTGGTGATGAAATTATGCTACAACGTAGAAGAATTATATGAGCATCAGGAAGAAAGCCGCTACCGCGCAACCGAAAGCGTCGTAGTATCCAAGGACATTCACGTGTCAATGATCTGAATGCCAACCATTCACCTAATTCATATTTACTGCACTACGCCTATGACCTTAGACATGTGATGACGTGTATGGCTAAGAATGCTGTGAATATACCGACGTGAGAAACGAAAATCTTGTACGATGACACTGGGTATCATCACCTCGCAAAGTCGAGTATCCCCGTGTATTATTTTGCATAACCAAACTGTAACCTAGGACGTACTAGTATGACGTATGATGTATACTTAGGTTTATTTTGCATGACAAATGTAATGTAATATATCTTGTAAGTTGCAATAACGTCACCTTATGACGTCGTTTGACAATACATGCCATACTCTAAGATATGGTTCTACGCAGAGTATTTTTTTTATTTATTATTTATTTGTATTTATTTGTATTTATTTGTATCTCACAAGGCTTTAAATGTCTAAAAACTAGTCGAATTTAAAATAGACATGCCATGTTGTCATGTTGGATTCGTAACCAAATTGATGTTTTCAGTTTTATTCTTCACGAATAGTGTATGGATGTACGTATTCCATTTTATTTATACTTTCAATAACATATTTTTTATATATAAATATAACTCGTGTTTATATTTTATTTTCCCCTATAGAATGATTAACAACTGATTATATTGCCTTTATAGAACACTATTGTTCCAATCTCCCCATAGGACGAACACTAATTATTTTCCATCCTTTTAAGAACGTAAACTGATTATGTTGCCCTCAAAATAGAACTGATTTATCATTGCCCCCTATTGAAAAAAAATGATCAAATTTTCCTTCCCATAGAACGAAAACTGATAATATTGCCCTCCCCATATCACATCAACTGATTTTATCTCCCTCCATAAAACACATTATTATATTACCCTCCCAATGTGAGAGCAACTGACAATTGCAAATATTAAATAAAACATTACTACTTTTTGGCTATTGTTCTAACAGCTAACCTTCCCTAGCGGACGGTTTTTGTTCAGCATTTACTAGGAATGTACTTTTTCTTAGTTCCGAACAGTACGCGTTTATAATGAAGTTTCTTTTTTTCTTAACAATGCCCGTTTTCTAGGAGAAGCCCGTTTTTCAGAACAAGGTTTGTTCTCACATAACACAAGTAAAGAGCACAACGTTCCCTCACTATTCAAAGGTTGTACATTTTTTTAAACAGTGACATTCGGACATTTTAATTCGAACATTTGGATTAAAACCAACGATTTTCAAATCGGCGAGCTGTGTGAATGCATGGCCGCTCTGCAGGCCTCGGACGTTAAATACGTATACCGTTAGCCTCTTCGTAATCAGTAATGGCCAGTTAAGACCTTCTTGGTTACTTCCACACGAACAATTTTTTTCGCATTTCACAAGGAAAATTAATTAACATGCACGTTATACCGATGACAGCTGAACAAGAAAACTTGCAGATGAGATGTGCAGTCACCGGTGAGGGCGCACCTACCAAAGTAACACGTGGCATTTCGACCAAAAATCCAAATATACTATAGCGTTAGTCTTTACTTGTGCTAGTAGTGTCCACGCGATGCAAACTAACATATTTGCGCAACATGTAACCTTGTATCGTACTATTTACATCGCATGGTGACATAGTTGACAATACTAAGGCATATTCAAAATAAACTGCAATGCCCCGTTTTACTTACTACTTATATAATTCACATTTCAAATTAAGAACAATATACGATATCTCAGTATGATATACTCTGTGGTTAACTCAATAAGTGGTGTCAATTAAACATAATTATGGGATCAGAGAATTGAATTACGGTTGAGAGATACAAGCCATAAAAATATACAGTAGGATCACATTTCATTATCTTAAGGGCTGTGGTCGTCGTGCACAACGCTCGTTCGAATTTTGCGCATGCATTATTCTAAAATATTTGTCGGTCTCTAGTAGAATAATTAGGCATATCAAACGAAATCACAATGTGTATACAATTATATAATACTGTGCATTGCAGCGCTGCGTTCCCAGTAGTCGATCAGTACCACATGCTGTACTGTTATCAGGCAATAACTGGGCAGTGATTGGAGCAGCACACTGAGAAAATTGTGTATACATCAGAAATAAACAATGTTTGTACCACGTTTGTGAACATAGTTCAAATAACAACCCCATTATTATTCGTTCACGTCAGAAGTTTTGGTCACTTTCATTGGCAAAATTTCATATGAGCGTGCTTTCGCATGCTATTTTCTTTCAAGCGTCGTTGATTCTCGACTCATTAACCACACGGTCGGTTTCTTTCTTCTATAGCAAACTACTGCACGTATATTCAATTTTGTGACAAATTCAGGGTCATTATAATTATAATAAAGGGTTCTGAACCGTCCATTATTACGTGTTATAAATCACCAGTATCAGAATTAGAGGTTTATATGACGTCTTAGCTTTACATTATTATCACAATTAGCCATGCTTTTGATTGACGTGTCGGAAAAAAGGAAAACATCTTTTTTGACGGTTTAAAATCGAATTCAATCAAGTCAATACATATTTTTAGGACTGAATAATATAATATTTTGGTTGCAAGAAGAAGATGGAAAAAGTTCATGTTTTAAATAGTTATGATTCGGATCAGATATAGTGTGATTCCGACATGAACCGTTTTTTTTTACATTATTGAAAGTAACAAAATAACTAACTGAATACTCTTTAATATTACGTGTGTAAGCCAACAGGTTTTGTTGCAAGATGCAAGATTGGTTAACGTGAGGGATGGCGCTGAATTCGTATGAACGGTTTTATGACGAGAGTGGAGTAATTATTTTCAAAAAAAAATCAAATAAGTTGAAAGCAAGTAAGGAAACCGAAGTGAAGTTCCAAGTTTCAATTGATTGTGGTGACTCAGATAGATATGATTTTAAAGTATCAGATACAATGTGATTCCGTTACATGATTTGAAAGTATCAGATACATTGTGATTCCGTTACATGATTTAAAAGTATCAGATACAATGTGATTCCGTTACATGATTTGAAAGTATCAGATACAATGTACTTCTATTACATGATTTGAAAGTATCAAATGCAATGTGATTCCGTTACATGATTTGAAAGTATCAGATACAATGTGATTCTGTGACATGATTTGAAAGTGTCAAATACAATGTGATTCCATTACATGATTTGAAAGTGTCAGATACAATGTGATTCTGTGACATGATTTGAAAGTATCAAATACAATGTGACCCCGTTACATGATTTGAAAGTATCAAATACAATGTAATTCCGTTACATGATTTGAAAGTATCAGATACAATGTACTTCTGTTACATGATTTGAAAGTATCAAATACAATGTGATTCCGTAACATGATTTGAAAGCATCAAATACAATATGATTCCGTTACATGATTTTAAAGTATCAAATACAGTGTGATTCCGTTACATGATTTGAAAGTATCAGATACAATGTGATTCCGTTACATGATTTGAAAGTATCAGATACAATATGATTTCGTTACATGATTTTAAAGTATCAAATACAATATGATTCCGTTACATGATTTGAAAGTATAAAATACAATGAGATTCCATTACGTGATTTGAAAGTATCATATACAATGTGATTCTGTCACATGATTTGAAAGTATCAAATACAATGTATCCCGTTACATGATTTTAAGTATCAGATACAATGTAATTCCGTTACATGATTTGAAAGTATCAGATACAATGTGATTCTGTAACATGATTTGAAGGTATCAAATACAATGTGATCCCGTTACATGATTTAAAGTATCAGATACAATGTGATTCCGTTACATGATTTGAAAGTATCAAATACAATGTGATTCCGTTACATGATTTGAAAGTATCAGATACAATGTGATTCCGTTACATGATTTGAAAGTATCAGATACAATGTACTTCTGTTACATGATTTGAAAGTATCAGATACAATGTACCTCTGTTACATGATTTGAAAGTATCAAATACAACGTGATTCGGTTACATGATTTGAAAGTATCAGCTACAATGTGATTCTGTGACATGATTTAAA